TTGGGGGCGGCGCGATTACATGTAAAGTCAATGCAAAGATGTGGATACACGCAAATTCGCTCCGGCGGCGCATACTGTATGACGCGAATTACGCGGCGCGAATCACGCGATTGAAGGGGGCCGCGTCAACGTGAGAGTTACATTTTTTCAACTAGTGTCAAATTCACGTGACGCGTTCTCTTGTAAAGATGGAAGAGAAGATTGTGGTTGCTGTGTGTGGGTTCCCGGAGGTATACAACACTATGTCATATATCTACCGGGACGGCAACAAAAAAGAACCGGCTTGGAGGAAGATAAGCGAGGAAGTAGTCATACCTGGTAAGTTATACAAAATATACATCTGTTGCTTGATTACAGATACCGGTAACAAAACATTAGCATTAACCAAGCTAGCTCAACCGCCGGTTTAACGGCAGATAACGGTTAAAAGTTACAATTTGTAAACGTTTTGTTCTTGTCAGAGGAAGTATGCCGAAGGAAGTGGAAAAGCTTGAGGGACACCTACGTTAAGGACAAAAAGAGGGAGAATGATAGGAGTGGGTCAGCAGCAGGGACCACAAAAAAGTGGAAATACTCTGCGGTCCTGTTCTTCCTTGACCCATGTGTTACCCCGAGAAAAACGACCAGTAATATGGTGTCAGGGATCGAGGAAGACAGGACCTCAGAGTACGTAGGTGAAGCGCAGGGAGCAGATAGTACAGCTTTTAAATGTTGCGGCACAAATTGCGATGGATAAATGAGAAAGAGGGTTAAAGTTCAAGATGTAAGATGTGTGTTCCCAATTGTGTGTATTCTGCATGCTAGTGCAGTTGCAGTAGGCCACATACTGAAAAATAAAAGTATGCAGCCTTATTTTTACATCCATCCATCCATTTCATGTTATTCCACGCCATTAAGAAGGATCGTCCAATTCCCTTATTTTTTAATTGTAATTGAGATTGAAGTACGAAAATTGTACGACATACATTGGTGCATAATAATTCATTTCTGTTTATGCAACTACAATACTAAGACAATTCAACAATAGGCATGTCAAATTAAATGTTAACATTTATTTTATTATTGTTTTCCTGAATTTGTTGCACATTTTCCTGAAAAAAAATCATATTGTGAGCTTTGCTTTTAATTTCTTTATTTTCTATTTCAGATCAAATAGGAGCTGGCGAAGAAAAGTGTGAATGTTATGGAGTTACAGTGGAAATCTTTTGTAAAAACTACAAAGCAAAACAAATCAATTGTAATATTAACAATGACTGTGCAATCTAAAATGTGTCTGAATTATAATCCTGTGATGACTTTCTTGATATACAGCAACACATCATTATCCTTATGTTGCAGTTATTATTTGTGATATGTGTTTATGCTGTGAATTATTCCTGCAAGTTCCCTAAATGTACATTCTCTCTAATATCCAAGAGGGGGCGTCTCCTCTGGTTGAACATATCAGGTTTTATAGAAGTTAACGAGAAAACAATCTTCCCATCACTTCATTAACTCAGTATCACTTCCAGCAAACATTTTATTTATACGTTTACGGTCGCTATCGCTAGTTTCAAATCAAAATTGTGATTACTTAATACAAATTTAAAACACTAAACACTTTACTTATTCCATTTAAGACAATAAGTACAGTACTCTTTAAAGATTATAGGCTAATGTGTTTTTTTTTGCTGAACCATTCAGACTGTGGGACGAAACCAGAGCACCTGGAGAAAACCTATTCATGGGAAAGTGAGAAATAAAGGAAAAATATGAACCTGTTATAATAACCGTAGAGAGGAAAAGTGGGAAAACACAGTAAAGGAGTGAGATGTGGGATGTTGCAGTTTGGCGCTGTTATTTTCCTGAAAAAGAAATAAAGGAAAACTCGAATAAAGCCAGAGGGGTAAAGAGTGAACCAGAGAGGGAGTGTAGAACAGCTGGGAAATGTTGTGTTTTTTCGCTGTGTATCGTACATAACCTGATACATTCAGACAACGGGAACAAACCAGAACACCTGGAGAAAACCCATTTGTGAACTTGGGGGAAAAGGGGGAACAATGAGAATACATTCAATTAAAGGTAGAGAGTAAAAAGTGGGTTAGGGAGAGGGAGGATGTAGATCGGCCATTTAATTCATCCACCCTAGCTCGAGGTGCCCCTGCCTCTTCTTAATCCGTTTTGTTTGCTCAGTGGCAAATCTGGGCAATGGTTCGCGTGTCATTGTCATATAGACCTGCACCACCTCTTGACTGTTCTCCTGCTTGGTGACCCGGGTTTTAGGAGTGTCCAATCTGGGCAACCGTTCTCCTGTTTTTTTCCCACGGTTCCTTGATGACTCCACCCCAGTTGGGGCAGAGCGTCGTCCTGCAGGTGCTCCCCTTGTTTTGGTTGGGAGGCGGGTTGGCCGCAGATCAGCAGTACTGCTCTCTTTGAGCTGAAACTTGTCCTTTTCCAGGTACTGCTTGATCTTCTCCTCCGGGGTAGGGGTGCGCTGCCATCTAGAATTTGCCTTCGTGGGCAACAGTTCACCTGCATCTTCCCGGGTCATTAAGCGGGTCAGGTCAGTACCACGTCTGGGCAACGGCTCGTCAGTTTCTCGACAGAAGTCATTGTTATCTGGCACCTCCCCATTTAAAAGGACACGATGCCGTCCTGTCTGAGCTGCTGGAAGATGCTCGCCCTCCTGCTGCATGTATTGCTGATCAACAGTACTGCTCTCTTTGAGCTGAAACTTGTCCTTTTCCAGGTTCTGTTGGTCAGTCTTCCTCTCTTTTTCTCTCTCATAGTCCTCCTCTGCCTGTTTCCGCAACATTATTTGTTTCCGCCGCTTCAATATGCAGGATTTGTAGATTGGATAGGCCATTTCAGTTTGTTCTGGTTTGTCGTGTTGTGTTGGAAAAATACTGTGTGTACTGCAACCTGTGTTGTGTCTCAAAGAACTGCTGAACTCAACACTCAAACTTAGTCCTATAAGGATTTGGTCAGACAACTTCAAAGACATTAATGACATCATCGCATCATGTGACCAGATTCATTCAGATAGTGACCTCTGCACATTCCGTGTGACATCACTTGACTTGGATCGACTATTAATTCATTCAAATAATGCACCCTTGTTTGCATTCCAAGTTGCCTAGTTACAGTTGCTAGGCAACCAAAGCTATTTCATTGACACCTGAGTCTAAACTAAAGTATTCCAATTAAAAGTACAGGTATCTGAATTAGAAGTAAGAAATAGCATAAATACTAGTATCAAGTATAAGTTCCCTAATAACGTTAATTAATAAAGTTTTTCAGTATTATGATCTGTAATTTAAAATTCCTGTTACACTTCTTTTTTTTTGCGTGGGAAGGATGATTGCTCTGGTATGATAAATCCTATCGGTTTGATGTATTTGGGATTCACCTTGAACTTTCATTCAAAATTGATTGTAGGACTAAGAAAACCAAAAGACGGCAACATATTCCTTATCAAACATTTTCAAATTGCTTTATATTGCATGCATCAATGCATTTTCTTCCCATTCACTGGTTTTGATGATATTAAGATGATTTAATTTGTCATGTTGATTTGACAGACGGATCAAAAGGACAGTGAAAGAGAGCGATGCAGAATAAAAGCACAACCTTTTGACCATTTTATTTCAAACTCTATTTCAACAGGCATACTTTCAGTGGCACGGTGGTTTTCAGTGTAATAACCGTGTTATCAGAGGGGTCTCAGTAAGATGCCATGGTGCTCTGCAGCCAGTCTGTGAAAATGCAGGTCTTATGCAAGAGAGGGAAAAGGAATTGGAAAAAGTTACAATCAGAGCACACATTGAGAAATAAATGATTGCTATGGGAAACTTGTGTTTTTTTACCTTGGCGTAGACCCCCGGGTGGTTCTTCTCTGCGCACCCAAAGCCCCATGACACAACACCCTGCAGCTCACCGTCACACACAACAGGACCACCAGAGTCACCCTGAGAATGAGAAAGCAAAGCAGTTTGAAATACAGTTAACTTTTGTGAGAGTGTCGGGGACACTAAACAAGTAAATTGTGCACTTTGCAACAGCAGACACGCATACCTGGCAGGAGTCCTTGCCTCCCTCCAGGTCTCCAGCGCAGAACATGGCATCAGTGATCATGTCAGGGTAGGAGTTATCACAGTCTTCACGAGACAGGATGGGGATGTTCAGGCACTGCAGCCTGTTGCTGTCAACAGCTGTGGAGACGCAGAATAAGAGACACAATGACAAATCAATAGAACAAAATACGCTTGTCTCAGTGGGCTTTACAGATTAACAAACATAGATGACAATGTAAAAGATACTTTATAAAAGACACGATAGAAAGTGAACAACAAATAAAATAGATACAAATACAACAAAAAGACAGAAAATATAGGCAAACGTAGGCTAATGTTAAACCAGCTGTAACTATAGGCTTTATTAAAAAGGAAGGTCTTCAACACACTCTTAAAATGAATTATGTACACATGTAGATTGAGTAACATAAGGAGATTGAGGAGTCTGATACTCACCGGAGCTCATAGTCACCCCCCAGCCGGAGACGGTGCACATGGTGCCAGCGGGGGCACAGCTGCTGGGCAGAGCCACGGGCTGCACATACTTGTTGAGGGTGGCAGGTTGGCTCAGCTTGATCAGCATGATGTCATTGTTAACCAACCAGGAATCGTAGTTGGGATGAGGGATCACGCGTTCAGCAGAGATGATCTGTTCATTTCCGTCCATGAACCAGCGGTTGTGATCACCGAGAACTATGTCCATTTTGCTGCAAAAGAGATAGAAGTTTCAAGTGAGACAGGTTGAATGAAAGGGATGCTTTGTGAGGTTAATTTGTTGACGTTTGAGGAGCACCCACGACTTGTAGCAGTGAGCAGCAGACACCACCCAGTTCTCGTTGACCAGGGTGCCTCCGCAGAAGTGGTAGCCAGAGTTCAGAGACACCTGATGGGGCTGAGAGTGAGGCACGCACTCCTGCCCTCCAACAATCTTGTCATCCTCTGTGGCAACTGAACAAAAAAAGGATTTATTAATCTGCAAAGGAGGAATACCTGTGTCCATCATTTTTGTATTTCCTCTGTCTCATTGTTTTCTTTTTAATTATTTAATCTCCAATGTGAGAGAAATAATGTTCCTCACTTAAGATATATTTAGTGATTTGTTTTCTTAGTGTTGATGGATTTTCTAAATTAATCCGTACTTACACACAGCTCCTAGGAGCAGAGCAAAGACCAGAGACTTCATGATTGATGTCAGGTTGATTTTCCTCGACCCATGCTGGCTTTTTATCGAACGTTTTAACCTATGCAATCTGTTGAGACACACCTGATAGGGCTGACCAATCAAAACCCTGCAAATAGTGCTGATGGGAAAACTTAACCACACTCCCTGAAACTCTGCCAACGTGTGACTTTATCTACTTGCAGACAACTCCTCCTTCAAACCCTTATTGTGGTTCTATTTCAATGGAAGAATCAAGGTATTAACACTGTGGCTGATTTATATTTCAAAGGGTCTTTTTCCTCCAGGAGCTGTGTGAGATAAGTTGGAGTAATTCCTTAAAATATTGAGAGCGACTGAAGAATTAAAGACTTGTTTCGTTGAATCAATTCCTTTACTTCTTGCCACATGGAGAAAAGACCCTATGGTTGTTCTCTGAAGGACATTCAAGGAGACCTATCCTGGTTAAATAAAGGTAAAATAAAAGAGCGTATTGATTTCAGTTTAAAAATGCTGACTTCTTGAAAAGGCCATCTCAATCATTTACTTTAGATCCTTCTTAGTAAAATGGCCTTTTACTGTCACCTCTCATTTTATTTCTCTAATGTAAATATATAGTAGAAATACATATGTTGTGTTATTTTTGTTCTATACCCCGAAAGTAGGGCACGTTGTGAAAATGTGTGCAAAACTAAAACAAGTCCAGATAAACTTGATGCAGGCAGATATCAAAACATAAACACTCTTACATTGTGGTCTATAAGTGCAGAGGACAAGCCTTTATTTATTGGTTTTCTTTTGCTTCTCAACAACAGTTTTCCTTTTTCAGCAAATGGCAGCTAAAAGTCTTTGCGCTTACAGGTGTATGCCAGAATTTTACATTTTGGATGTTATAAATAATGTTTATAAATATATAAATACTATAAGAGAGAGATATGTTTACCTCATAAATAAAACATGATATAACAAACTAATTACAATAATAAATAAAAAACATGAAATATGCCAAACTACTAACAAAAATGTAACTGTTCAATAACTGATGACTTGTATGATTGTGGAACTGAGATGGTATAACACTTTTTTCAGTAAAAAACTACTATTGAAGCAGTTCTCTATTATGTATACATTTCAGGAATTTTGCTCCAAAATGAAAAAAAAGGGACTCTATATGTTTTCTCACAACAATGCATTTTGAAACTGTGTGTTATTTAGTTCAGTCTTAGCTGCACTGGTCTGCTGTGAGTAGAGTATATTTTGTACAGGTTGTAATAATAGTATGTACAGTACGTATAAAGGTTGTTATCAGCGTCCTGACCTTTCCTCGGCCCAGGCTGTGTGCCAGCTGCAGCTTCTCTCACAGATTGACTATCTGAGTGGCTCGGACCAGATATAACGTGCAGTAAAACTATACAGAACACATGTTTTTCGAAATATCTATAAATTATTTATCTTTCTCTAAATTGTGTTATTACAGTTCCGTTTAGCAGTGATGACGTGTCACATCACAAAACAATATTGTCTATAGAACAATGAGAACACAAACATTACAAAAGCAGTAAAACAAAACACAAACATTTGTTTAGGTAAAAAGATAAATGGATGGTTATTAATATTACAGGACAGAAAAAAACCATTAAAATACTGTATTAAAAAAAGCAAAACATGAAGTTGTTTGAGATGGTAAAAAGCATCCATAATCACAACAACAACAAAACGATTTTTAAAAATATTTTTCATTTTATCAGATGTTCTTACATATTTTGACCCAGTTTAAGGCATGCAGTCACATCTTGTGTCTGCATGTTCTCTAAAAAATGCTACTAAGCTCTATCACAGTTTAGGATTTCTATCAGTGAAAATGATTTCTGCCAGTTCATTTTTTCTCACAATTGTAAACATAAAAACAGTGCTGTTACTTTGTCGATTGCATTGGTTTCTCTTTTTATCTATTTCATTCCTCTGTACTCCTTTAATATATTGTCTGAACTTGACATGTCTCTATCATGGTCATAGGCTGTTTGCAGAGCTTGACAAGGGTTTGTTTATTAGAAGAAAAAAAATTGAATGTAGATACTTGGTAAACATTGCAAACATGTTTCCTCAGTATTAAAGTTGGGTATCTAACAGGACTCACCTTTTAAAGTATTTTATGTAACATATGATCTCTGCATCAAATCTCATGTGTATTTCTTCAAGACTCTACTTCACTGGACTATTATTTATTGGTATTGATGGCATTTATTGTATTCTAAACTATTGGAAACAGTTTGATGCAATATACATTTAGAAAGTATTGCTTTGTCTACTAAAGGGCAGTAAACAGGTTCACAAGTTTGTTAAAGTTCAGTTGAATTTTAAATAATGTAATGAAGACATATTTCTGGGACAACACAGGAAACAAACTGAGGGAAGCATAATTTACAAGTGTTGGACTTTATTGACTCAGATAAAAAATGAATGCAATTATTCAAAACTCAACAACAACAACAGTGGAGTTAGAATGATGGAAGAAAGGCAGCAGAGTAAGATGGTGATCTCAGGATAAGGCTTAATATTTGGCCATGGTTGTCTCCAGCCAATCGTTGAAGAGGCAGACCTGTTAATGGAGACACAATGAGGTTTTTAGAAAACTAGCAAGTACAGTATGATTAATTTTTACTGGCCATGTTCATTGTGAAATGTAGGTTTCATGTCTTCTATTGTAGAGATGTTTTCAGTTTACCTTGGCGTAGACACCGGGGTTGTCCCTCTCAGCACATCCGTAGCCCCAGGACACAACACCCTGCAGCTCACCGTTGCACACGACG